AACTTTACTATTACCTATGTGTATAAATGTGCGTAGTGTACACAATAAACTAGATCTTATTTATGAACTGTTGACCAATTGCAATTTGCCCGATATTGTCTGCTTGACTGAAAGTTGGTTACGTACTAATGAAATAATCACTTTCCAATTACCCGGTTATGTGGTAGGCTCTAGCTTTTGCAGAACCAATTCGCGCGGTGGTGGAGTGCTTATCCTTGTTAAGGAACAATTAAGGGATAAAGTTAATGCCCTTCCTGTTACAGCTACTACTGATCTAAATCTGGAAGCAGCCTCGCTTGAAGTATGTCTTGATGGAATTAATCTAAAGGTTATTTGCCTATATAGACCGCCCAGATCTTCATTTGCTACCTTTCTGGAGCAACTAGAAGATTTGCTACATGTTTCTGATACCTGCGTGCACAGGACGGTTAATATAATATGCGGTGATTTTAACTGTAACTTGGCCGATCCTGGAAATGAATCAACGAGCTTAATCAACATCTTCGCATCCTACGGTTTGCATCAGTTGTTTTTTGACTACTCGCGAGTTCAAGGAAAATCCAAAACACTTATAGATAATATATTTTCCAACTTAAAGAAGTGTGATGTGGTAGCTGCAGACACTGTCACAAACTTCATATCTGATCATCATGCTCAGTTGCTTACCTTTACATTACCAAGGTTTTATAGCTCTAAAGACTTGCAGACTAAATGTGATCGTCCCATTACGGAAAAAGGTTTATTTAATTTCCATAACGCCTTGGAACATACAAACTTTAATTACTTATATGATCACACTTTCAGTGACGATAAATTCTCTAAATTTATAGATCATATTGTCGCAATTTTTATGGAATGTTTTCCTATTAGGATAACTAAAAGTAAACGCTGGGACGGTGGTATCTCATGGTTTACGCCAGAATTAAAACAAATGAGAAGCACGCTCAAACTACTACATGAAATGTACACTTTGGCAGGTTCGATTGGCTTAAAATCGGCCTATACTCGCTACAGAAGTGCTTACCGAGCTGCAGTTCGTATTGCCCGAATACATTCAAATGATAACGTCATTACTAATGCTAGTAACAAATCAAAGATGGTTTGGGATATTATTAATGCAAAAAAAGGCCAATCTAAGGTTATTACTGATCTATACTCTGCTGACCAATGGAATCAATATTTTGTTAATATACCTAACGAGATATTATCCCACAATAATGTTCATATAAATGAACCCCTTTCTATGTTTAATATTATCGTACCAAACAATATCTCTCTAAGTTTTGACTATGTTACCCCTAATGACGTCAGAGACGCGATAACATCATTATCGGCGAGTAGAGCAAAAGTCATCTATGGGATGAACTCGTACCTACTAAAAAGAAATATCAACATGTTTATCAGTCCGCTAACATTGTTGATAAATGGTTGCATACGTTCCGGTACCTTTCCTGACTGCCTAAAGGTGGCACTTGTTTTACCCCTATTCAAAAAAGGCAACGCTGAAGATATGTCAAATTATAGGCCCATTTCACTCCTGCCTGTTTTTTCCAAGATATTTGAACGCATTGTCGAAAAACGTCTAAGACACTATTTTGAAACGAACAAGCTCTTCTACACGAATCAGTACGGGTTCCGCAATGGAAAAGCGAGAAACGACGCACTGATTACATTTGTCAATAACGCCGTTTTGTGTTTCGAGCAAGGTAAATATGCTGTTTCAGCCTTTTGTGACCTGAGCAACGCGTTTGACTGTGTTAATCACAACGTCTTGCTACAGAAACTTAAAAAATATGGTTTAAACAATATGGCGATTAAACTTATACAATCCTACCTCTTCAATAGGATGCAAGCAGTAAAAATTGGCAATTCAATATCCAATTTGGCTCATTTAAGACAAGGAGTTCCCCAAGGTTCCGTCCTAGGACCGCTCCTGTTTCTTATATACATTAACGATATGCCGTATTACTCTAGTAGAGCACTTTCTATATTTTTTGCCGACGACACTACATTGAATGTCTCCAGTCATAGTTTAGACGATGCTATTTCCAAGAGTTCACTTGCAATTAACGATGCCGAAATGTGGTTCGCCGCTAATGACTTAACGTTGAATCGTAATAAAACTCAGACCTCTATTTTTGCACTTAGACCGTTTACGACCACTGGTAAATTTAGTCATAATAGCATATTCCTAGGTATGCGTATGGACTGCAAACTACGCTGGAATGAGCATGTGAATTATGTCTCGACTAAGTTAGCAGGCAACATCTTTGCGCTACGTAACTTAGCGAACTATGTATCCCCTAATGTGCTAAGGATTGCGTACTTCGCCCTTTGTCAGTCGCATATGGCATACGGCATTGTTATTTGGGGCCATGCTCCTACTGCCAAAAGTGTGTTTTCGCTGCAGAGGAGAGCTATCCGTATTATAGCAAGAATACCTTATAGAGCGAATTGTAAGCCTATGTTTATAGAATTTGGTATAATGACATTTTATTCATTATATGTATATTCGTGTCTATGCTATGCGAAAGCTAACTTACAGTGTTTTAACACTCATAAGGACTTTCATGCTTACAATACCCGGAACAGTGAGAACTTGTATAATGACTTTCTGAGGCTATCCACTTCAAAATATGGACCTAATTATTGGGCTGCAAGGTTTTATAATAAGATACCTAAGCATATACAGAGTCTGAACACAAACTTATTTAAAAAACGCATAAAAGAAACACTGATAAGTAATCCTCTGTATTCTATTGATGAATTTTTCCAAATTAAATTCTTATAACTGTTCATTAAGTTTTCTATTATTGTAATTTGACTTGTGTAAATATCTTGTGATAAACTACACTAATAAAGTATTATTATTATTATTATTATTATTAAATATTCAGACTCTAAAGATCACTTAAAAACTTTTAGTGGTTTGGAGTGGAGACTTATAAAACCTCATACCATTGAATAACGAAATCATTTCACTCAACGCTTCTACAAATTTCAACAACAGTAAAAAACTTTTAAGATACTTAAATGCTCTTGGAGATCCTTAAAAGGTCATAAAGGATCAGGTGTCACTATTCGTAAAAAAAATTACTGTTAAGACAGTCAAGTATCAATGGTCCCTGGGGTTAGGTTCCCAAGGTACTGGCGTGTCCTGGGCAGGGCAGTTACATCCGCTTGCCCCCCATGTCGGCAGCCCGCGTGTCCTGCTGAGGGCTGTGTAAGGGCAAGAACATTGAATAAAAATGTTGTATTCAATGGCAAAGAGGCAAAGGGCTTGGAATAGCGCAGCGGTTTAGAGTGTTTGTTGGTAGCTTTTTAAAAACGCCTAATAAGTATATTGAAAAACTTGAAAATGGAGACAATTAAAAAACATTGGTTTTAATTATTTTAAGTTCATAAAACGTATTCAGTGCCCTCGAAACACATAGGTATTGGCACTAGACGAAATCCGAAGACCGACGATCCTATAATCCGATCAGATCCGATTATGAATCTAAACCATCCTGGGACACGCGGAAACGCAGCATAACAAAATTTATCAAAATTCGTCTAGCCGTTTAGGAGTCCAGCCACACACATGTACAGAGGAATTTTTTTAATATAATAATATATGGTGAGTATAAATTATTGAGCGCATTTTATAGGTGAATAGAAATAACAAACTGCAGTAGTGCGCCTATTTGTTTTACTTCTTTGGTTTTACAAATGGTAGTGTAGGTGTTTGTGATGTCTGATGACTTTCAACGAACAGTTGGTTCTAGGGGGGAGGGGGCAGAGTACCGCTGGATTGTCCGCGATGGACCGATGGTATGGTATGGTAGTATTGTACACCGATTTGTTATTTTTCTATACACCTATGAAATGCTTAATAATTTCTGCTCACCCTGTACAACTCGTTACCACACATTCTGGAATTGTTGTAAACTGATAAACATTGTTATTAAATTTCTTAGCACTATATGAAATTGTTCGTCTCTTTCATCGACATATATATAAATGGACTGCGCGTGCCAATGCTAAGTGCGGATACTACAGGTGAGAGAGAAGGGAAATCTATGAGGAAAGCTCTATCGCTTTTCTTTGTTTGTCACATACGACTTTTGGTTGCATTCAATCGACATTGCTGTGGTGACTGGTGTTGACAGTGCTTGTATAATTATGTTAAGCGATGGACGCGATTCTTGCAATTGTGTAATTAGGTAGTACGACCTATTCGACACGATGTGGCAGCACAATTTATTTACTATCTTTGGATTTTAAAACATGATGCGACCTCTGACATTTAATAGCTGAGTTATGATTAATGTGTAATGATAGTTGTCTAATTTCATAAATGGTATAATTATGACATCTACAAGCACTGTCACAGTAATGTCGATTGAATGCAAGCAAAGGTCATATGTGACAAACAGAAAAGCGATAGAGCTTTCCTCATAGATTTCCCTTCTTTCTCACCTGCAGTAGCCTCGCTTAGCATGCACGCGCAGCCCATTTGTATGTCGATGGTCTCTTGAAGCCCTTGAAGGAACTAGGTTTATAAACTTGACAAGACGAGGCTACATCGCGATCATGATTTAAAGATCGTGGTTCGTATGATCACGTTTTACGAAAGGAACGCGTGAATTTAAAACAAAGTATGGTTAAGTTTACGGAGTACACATTTGCATTCGAATTACGTATTTTTTGTTTGGATTATGAAAATAATTTAAATACAAGTAGAAGTACTTGCTCCTCTTCAGTTACAAATATTGACTAACTTAAGATTTGAGCAAAAATATCCTTGCATTTATAGGGTACCAATTCGTGATCATAAAACTTTTATGTTCAGTTTGTTCACGATTTTAGCAATCATGATCATAAGATCACACTTCGAAAAGACGTAATTTGAGAATCCAAACATCATCGAAATAAAGCGCCTATGGTTATAGGCATATTGCTATCATAGTTCATGTGAACCGTAATCAAACAGCCTACTCATATGGCAACAATGTCAAGTTTTTAAAGAACGCTGCACCGCACCTGTCAGTTGATAGTTTTAGGTGGCCTTGAATTGTTTATATACGTATTTAACCGTCTTCGTGTAAGTTCATTTAAGTAATAAAAACTAAATATTCGAAATTTTATGTTTACAGGCAGAATAGCTTTACTTCAATAATGTGTCCAGTGCCCTGTAGATTAGTTAATTAATTGCTCGTTTAACTGGAATAATGTGAAGCATTATTAGTGTTTACAAAAAAAATGAGTAATTCTGTTACTGGCGGTGCTTATTTATTAGAATCAGATATGTTGGAAGCGGAATCCTCGGGCGGCATCACCCTGCCAGATGCCGTAAAACAGAAAAAGTATTCTACTAGTTCCATTAGTGGCGGCGAAGTGTCCAGGCCCAAGATGGTTACTGTGAAACATCCCGAGTCTAATAAACCTAAGCCTACAATTAAAAAGAATAAACCCATTCAAGCCGACTTAGATGTAACCAAAGAGCTTCTTCGATGCAAAGAAGAAGGTTTGAAACGTTTAGATTTAAGTAAATCTAATATAACTCAATTACCGCCGACGTTAAGAGATTTAAACCATTTGTTAGAATTCTATTTGTACGGAAATAAGCTGGTATCGTTGCCTGCGGAAATTGGATGTCTGACGAATTTGCAAACGTTAGCTTTGAGTGAAAATTCCTTGACTGGCTTGCCAGATTCGTTGGTGAATTTAAAGTTACTGAAAGTGCTCGATTTACGCCACAATAAATTAAATGACATACCTGATGTCGTTTACAAACTAACTTCTTTAACAACACTATTTTTAAGGTTTAATCGAATTAAGTACGTTGGAAACGAAATATGTAACTTAATAGCATTGACGATGCTTAGTTTACGCGAGAATAAAATAAAAGAACTACCGGAAGGCATAGGAAAATTGGTCAACTTAATTACGTTTGACGTTTCTCATAATCATCTGGAGCATCTTCCCGAGGAAATTGGTCAGTGCATCAACTTATCGACCCTCGACCTCCAGCACAACGAACTGTTGGACATTCCTAATAGCATCGGACAATTGCATCAATTAACGAGGCTCGGTTTGCGCTACAATAGACTGTCTACCATACCAGTCACGCTCAGCAGCTGTAAACATATGGACGAATTTAATGTTGAAGGCAACGCAATCTATCAACTACCCGAAGGTTTATTATCAAGCTTAAGCGAATTAACAAGCATAACATTATCGCGTAATAATTTTACGGCATATCCGTCCGGTGGTCCCTCGCAGTTCATTAACGTCGATTCGCTTAATTTAGAACACAATCAAATTGATAAAATCCCGTACGGAATCTTTTCACGAGCAAGACATTTGACGAAACTGAACATGAAAGAAAATCAACTGACATCGTTACCGCTCGATGTAGGCACTTGGGTTAATATGGTTGAACTAAATTTGGGGACAAATCAACTTAGCAAGCTTTCCGATGACATACAATGTCTCCAGTCTTTGGAGGTGTTAGTTTTATCGAATAATTTATTAAGGCGACTTCCATCAACTGTTGGCAACTTACGAAAACTACGAGTCTTAGATCTAGAAGAGAATCGCTTAGAGCAACTGCCAAACGAGATCGGCTTCCTACGAGAACTCCAACGGTTAATCGTGCAATCAAATCAATTAACTTCTCTGCCAAGGGCTATAGGTCATCTTTCGAACTTGGTTTTTTTAGGTGTAGGTGAAAATAATTTAGGATTTTTACCAGAAGAGATCGGTACACTCGAGAATTTAGAATCTTTGTATATAAACGACAATCCTTCTCTTCACAATTTACCGTTCGAGTTAGCACTTTGCTCTAATTTGCAAATAATGAGCATCGAAAATTGTCCCTTAACTCAGATACCGGCTGAAATTGTAGCCGGAGGACCTTCGCTTGTAATACAGTATTTGAAAATGCAAGGACCGTATCGTGCCATGTGATCTACATAATAAGATATTTTTTTAGAGTACTGTAATTGTTGCATATGTGTATTATTATGAAAAATAATTCGATGTTAATTGTAGTTTAAATATTACTTAGCTTTAGACAGCGTTGTCTCTAAACTATAGGTATCACTATATTCAAAAATATTAATCTTTTGTGAAGTATATTTTTTTATACAGAAACCATGAAAACGTAACAGAAATAAATCTTTTTTATTTTAAAGTGAGACAAAGTTCGCATATCTATCGATTAAATGGCAGATTTTTTTTACAATAATGCGACACCTAAAAAATACCATTTTTTTTGCAATGCTTACAGTGCAATTTGATATTAAATATAGAGGAGTAGAATTGTAATATCTGTGACTAACTCAATAAAAAAAATGATGTGCCATGTTATAGCTTAACATATGGAATTCTAAGTCTCTTGTTGATTGGTGTACATTATAAAATCATAAATATGACATTTGTTATGGGAAATTCTAGAAGTACAGTGGTAAATGTATTGTAAATATCCCTATAACTTGCCTGTTTTTAAGCTTTTTGTTGGATGTACGATTTAAAACGTACATTAGAATATGGTGCTTAAAAAGAGAATCTTTATTGAATTGTCGCAGTCTCTTGAGTTATCAATAAATGTTACTATTGTCTGAAATTGAAGCTTTTAAATGCATGAATGAAAGATTGTTGTGTTATTTTTTTGTAAAAAAACACCACTTGTTCCCTACAAAAATAAAATTTGCCAAGAAATGTTTTTTTTAATTCCTTATGTAGGGGTTGTAGATATTTTATGTAGTCACAACTGGATGCATCTTGGTTCCCCCAAGGAACCTGTTACTTATTATAAGTCTCACAGGATATGCAGAACTTCTGGCTTCATGCGACAGGGACCCATTAGGCAGACCTGTAAAAAAACGGTTATTCTTTACAATCATTGTAGTCATATAATCAAATATTCCCTGAGTTCCTGGAGACTGTGGCCTGCACAAGAACTTACTACAACCACAATGTTTGGTGTTGCACCTATTGCAAGTACAACATTCACCGAATTCGGAGAATGACTGACAGACAGGCATCTTTAATCTTCAACCACAAGCTTTAGGATATCTGGTAAGTCAGGACAGGAAAGATGGGTGTTTTTCACATACTATCTAAAAAAACAAAACTGGCTATTTATTCAATGACCATATGAAAATGAGAGCGATGAAATGTCTAACAACATAAAAAGTAAGGAATTATGTTGTTTATAAAGAACACAACAAAGTAACTTTTCACGTGCGTATTATATTATTTCCAAATTTGTTGAAAAAGTATTAAAAAATGAACTGAACATAAACTGAGAATTTCAAGAAAATGTACCTAGGTATGTATCTTTTCACACAGTAATTAACAACAAGGAACATCTCAAAAATCTATTGGAATATGCCTAATTATTCTATAAAAATTACAATTCACAAGCCCAAATTGATATTAATGAACGAACAGTCAGTTTAATCAGTCGACGTGCATCGGTTAAAAATTTAGGCTGCTTGACGACTCCGTTAATACGAATTTTAGCTTAATCTGTGTTTAACAGTTCCATTGAAAATAAAATGTTTTGATCAAAACACTTTTGTGCATTTGCATTTGGCCCTGTGTATACCAAATTTTAAATGTAAATAAGTGGCGCCATCTGCGCGTAAGAATAGTTTTAAATATTGATTGAACAGTTTCCTACCAGTATGACACATATACATGGAAATCGGAGTTTGTGTACTGACTAGTTGCGGGAGTGGTAGCTGCGAGTAAAGTGTCGTTGTTTAAAATTAGGTTTTTTTCCTCTCTTTTTAACATAAAATAAGTGATGTTACGAATGTTTTTATAATAATTATGTGCTGTGATTTTCAAACTTAAAGAACAATGTTTCGCTGTATACCCATATTTAAGGGTTGCAACAGACAAGTTGAATTTGTTGATAAAAGACACTGTTCACTTCCAACGGTTCCAGAGGATATTTTACGCTACTCCAGAAGTTTAGAGGAACTTTTATTAGATGCTAATCACATACGGGATCTTCCAAAGGTAAGTTTGGAGATGCACAAAAGCCGAAACCTGTAAGCGTTTGTTTTAGAACTTCTTCCGTTTACATCGTCTTCGAAAGTTGGGTTTGAGCGATAACGAGATAAACAGGCTACCGCCTGATATCCAAAATTTCGAAAACTTAGTGGAACTCGACGTTTCTAGAAATGGTATGATTTAATCGCTCATTTTTTACACATTACTCGAAACGGAACAAATTTAAATTGTGTCGGTATACTTGCATTGACACTAATGTCCTACTAAAGGCGACACTTGGGGCTCACCAACAACGCACCTATTAGGCATGACTTCAATTTTAGCAATATTTATGGTATGGCACATTGTATTTGGTTGCAAATTGGTCATGTATACACTTAATATTCTTATAACATGCCTATTCGTACTGTGAACTCATATTTATTAACTTGAACACCTGCGTAGGATCGAACATGCAATTTTGTCATGATAACCAAGTTTTAATAATCATCCTATTCTGAGCTACCTTACCTTAGGAATTTGCAACATAAAAATTCAATTAAAGAGCAAGTTCCTTTTGAATGTAATTAAAACTGCACTCCGAAACCCACCAAAATAGTCGTGGAAGAACAAGTTTCTTTTTATATCTACTTATTTTCCATTATAGAGGTGTATTTATTATAATGACCATTTAATTATTCCAAAAGTTGACGTAATATAGGAATGATTACAAATGAACCTTGTTTTAGTCATATCTATGGAATGCAGACAGGTAGGTAACTGCCTATTAAAGTGAACATTTAGATTACCTTATCTGCTGTGTTGACCCACAACTGAACGCTGATAAACATTTTGTGTAAACTTACTCAAACTGTTTTATTTGTTTGTTTAGGTATAACATACTCGTTCCAGGTTCCAGGTTGTTACTGTAATAAAATAACAAATAAGTATAGTATGGTGCCTGATTTGCAACAGGTTCCCCCTGAAGGTTTCTATAAATTACAAGATAAATTAATTGGATGTCACTACCAACGGGTTGGGCTCGGGTTGGGGGACAACACATTTTAAGTACCTAACATTTTCTTCATTGCCTAAAAATTTCTGGATTCCTCTCAGTATTTCCTTTTTCTTGCACTGGGTGAAATTTCACCAATTTGATACACATGGAACTCAACATGGAATATGTAACAGTATTTCCCTTCAAAATTGCTTTATATTATATATTTTTTACGAGATTTTTTAGTTTCCATCTTTTCACAGAGAATTTTGTTGTAGTCTTTTAAAATACCCCTATAGTGTATTCCCCAGAATTTCCCCCTTGTGTCACCCCATATGCCCATATTCATTTCCTAGATAATTTATGTATGATGCCCTTCGAAGATTAGGTACTTTAGGAATTGTCTCAGGAATTCTGTGTTTTTGAGTCTCGTGTTATACAGGGTGTAAGAAGCTCGGTAATAAGTTAAGTGTTTCAAAAATTTGGTGGTATATCCAAACTGAGGGGGAAATCACAGATAGTTAAAGGTTCCTACATTGAACATCCATTTAGTGAAAAATTACTGGTGTCTGCGCCATTGATGGATTGTTAATGTTCTTGTTGGAGCCTATAGACCCTGGGCCCAAACTTTATGATAGGTGGGATTGGATTTATGAGTTATTTTTGAGATATTCTCACTCAAGTTCTCACATCGCCAGTAAATGTGTCTCATCCAGACCCTCTACTGCTATACGCCCTTTATGAGTACTTTTTTCCAACACTTTGTTTTCGATATAAGTATTCGTTTCGACCTCACCAATAGATATGTCTCGTCCAGACGATTCATTTTGCCTTTGTGAGTGCTCTCGTCCGACACACCGTTTTCTAGATATTGGCTTATAGTTTTGACATCACCAATGGATGTTTCTTTCAGACATCCCAATCTCTCTTTGTAAGTACTTCCCCTGCTCCGACACTGCCCTAGAGATATGAGGAATTATAACCGATCGCGATAAGGGAATGATGAATAAAGCCAGTTCCTCCCCCTTTCCCAACCTCCTGATTTTGGTAGTTGGTAGAAAACAGTTCCTTTCGTTGATATCTTTATTTAGAGAAAGACGAGGAGAAAGATAAAACCAAGTCCCCCCTTCAGTCACCCACTCATCTCGCAAAAGCGAGCGAAAAAGAGTCGCGCGCGGAGGCAAGTTATAGTTTGTAGAAACCAATTCCTTTAGATGAATCTAGAATCATTAATTCACATCTTGTTGGGTACAAAGCAAAACCAAATTATCTAGCAATTTATTTTTTTTAACAAGAAAATCCTACCTTGCTCTCTTTGTGGTTACGCTACCGGTGGAAAAACGTTGGGAATTTTGCGAGGGAATTTGTAAAAACGTATTGTTTTGATTGGCAAGAGGAAGATGTTAAACACTTTTTACATCTTTCTTATAATTTCGGAGAAGGCATACCGTACACGTACAGTGTGTCCCAAGTTCAAAACTGATCAATGGCATCTTGGAAACTGTAAGACCCCCCTTAGGTCAACCTTCGCTCATCTGTTTACCGAGTTAAATACATTTTTTAGCAATCTTAATACAAACTTACGTAAATAAATAGTGGAAATGGGTTGCCTAAAAAATTAAATCAAGACTACGCTTAATTAAAATTAATGTAATTAATATCTATCTGCTTAATACGTCATGCGCTCTCTCTTACATCTATGCCTCGATCTATGCGTACACCACGATCAGTTGCAATTCTAAGTAGCGCGCAAGAGAGAAATATGTGTATTGTTTCGTGTGAAAGAGAAGGACGCAGCGTAATAGCTGATCGTGGTGTATACATCGATGTAAGAGAGTGCGCACGCGCTCTCTCCACATGATAGAAGCAGACAGAAATATGAATTACACTCGGAATTACATTGATTTTAATTAAGGCGAGGGGGTAACATCTTCTAAAATTTTGTGACAGTATTGCGACAATCCCCATGATTTCCCTACGATTGCTGCGATTGCGACCACAATCCGTCGATTGCGATGGGATTGTTGGATTTTAGAGGATTGCATGTGATTATGAATGATTGCAGACGGTTGTAAATGATGGGTGATTGTGGGTGACTGACAAAGATTTTTGGTAACTGCTCAAGTTGCTATACTCGGCATTACCTAAGCAAGAAACATATTCATTTATATTGGCTATTAGGGAATTCTTAGTTGGTAACAGGTACTTTTAAATACACAAATAAGAAGTTAAAAAGGTAATCGTAAACCTCGTCGTAAACGATTTATAAAAAGCGCATTACTCGGCGCATTACAATTGCATTCATTTCCCGTACTGTAAGATGCAAGCAAACTTAAACTTAAAATTTTGTAAAAATCCGGCCTCAAATAAGAAAGTTAGCGTTGCACATGTGCAATCCATTTTTGACTTGCTGCTTCAATTTCAGTTTATAAAAAGAACCCTACCCTAAAGTTTCAGGGTATTTCTGGGCATGCGCAAAACAAATTATTTGATTTGGCATTAGTTTCATCTTTATTCAAGATGCCTACATACAAAATTTCATTTAAATAACTTAACAAATAAAAAAAATCCAGATTTATTGACTCAGCACTAGTTTTACTTTAGTCGAGGTCGCCATCTACATCTATAGCCTACATAAAAAGTTTCATTAAAGTATTTAACAAAAAAAAGGGTATGCGCAAATACAAAAGCTATCATGCACACGGACGGACAAACAGACAGATAGATACACTGACAGACAGGCATACAGACAGACAGCAATACACTGCAATCTCGAAAAAATGGTTTTTTTACCATAACTTTTTGGTACGCGGCACAGAAAAAATTCCTTCCTTGGTGCAAATCTTGACAGCATAACGAACCAAATAGCGAAAAAAGTAAAAACACTAGGGACGGACGGGCAAAGTGCCCACAATAGTAATTTTTTTTATTTTTGTGGAAGTCAAACTAAGTGGCATGTGCTCTTTTTGCGCCATTGTTAAAAAATGACACAATAAAAATTTGAAAACATTCGCTTGCTTACAGAGATACAAGGTAAAATCAAAAATTGTCAATATCAGATGAAAAGAGACACGAAAAAATGTTTATTACATAATTACTTGCTGGGTAATCTGCCGTTTTCAAAATAGGTTACATATACGATGTCCACAAAAAAACCTCATTTTTTAAATAGGACACCTTGTATGTTTTAATCTAAAAAGATAGCATATTAACATTTTCTTTTTTTAATATATAACTCAATCGAAGAAAGAACTAAAAAGAAGAATTAAAACATTTAAGGAAGGTTCAAATATTAAAAAACAACAAAAAATTAAACATTTTGAAATTTTTTGAAAAATCTAATATTGCACTTTTTAAATTTCTTTAGTGTTATATTTCTAGAAAGTGAATTTAATATGCTCTTTTTCGAATGAAATATACAGAGCATGCCACTAAAAAATGACGTTAGGTCTCGGATTAGGTCCTATAACTTTTTGACCTGATTCCGTACACTTATTTTAAAATGGCAGATTATTCAACAGTCTTATAAAGAACCTTGTAAGAAAAATCTTTCTATATCTCCTTTAATAAATATAGGTTCATTCTGAGATTTACAATTTTTTGAATTTCCTCCGTCCATTTTTAAATTGAAATATTTTAATCAAAAACTCTCTTTTCCAAAATATAACACTACAAAAATTCCATATTGATTTCAATAGGTTCAAAAGATTTAAAAAACCGAAAGATTCAAAAATTTCTTTGAAATTTTATTGTATTTATCAAATCGTTTGACCTTTTCGTTAAATCTTTTTTGAGCCCTTTTTGAATCATCCTTAGTGTATTATATTTTTTAAAAGTTAATATGCTACATTTGTAGATTATTAATCGGCAAAGGAAAGCGATGTAAGCTTTATAGGGAAGTTGATGGTGTCCGTCTGGCCGTGAACACAATAACTGCCAAACGCTTGGACCGATTTGGTTCATGCCACAAGTAATAAGCCTATTGCAAATGGGTCAAATCCAATGACCCCTTGGGGTCACGCCTCTGTCTGTGCCAAACGCTTGAACCTATTCGGTTGAAACTTTGGAAAGTTAACATACCACATGTAACAAAGTAATTGAAAATGAGTCAAATCCAAGGCAATTGAAAGTGAGTCAAATCCAATGAGGTGTAGGGTTATTCCGAGGTGATATGCCGCTTTTTTAGATCCGATTTAG